TCAAAACCCCTTCATTTAACCCAAAAAAACTCACTGCAAAACTTTTAAATCCTGACTTCAGATTCAGATTCCCTAGTTTCGATTACCCTTCGGCCAAGTTCCTTGCACAATCGGATGTTTTTTTGACCAGAATGTTGTTTTGACCCTAACAAAAACAAACACGCACACAAACTATTTTTTTATATGTGACTCTCCCGACAGTCGAGGGAATAACAATTATGATACAAAAAAATTTTAATTACTTTTTAGCTTCTTTTTTTTAATTTAGCAGATCTAATAACTTTAAAAAATAGAAGTTAGCCCTTCTTGTTACTTGATAACTATTGTTCTTTATAATTACTTCCACTTTTTAATGTTTTGATATACTCTTATATATGTTCAACATATGAAAATGCAAAATTTAATACGAAATATAAGGACAGATAGGAATGCACAAAGTGTACTGTCTATCTTTGACGTCACTGTTAGCTATGGCAGACTTTCTGATTGTTGTTCTAGAAAAAGAAAAAAAAACTAATAATACTAGTAATAATCGACATTATTTTAATATAAAATAACAATCCATGTTACTAATCTCCATAATCATAATGCAATATATCATGCTTACTTATCAATTTACAAAGTTTTGAGTGCACTATAGGTAATAAAACGGTTGCTATTCTGTTTTCTAGTTCAGATTCTAAATGTATTTGTTTATTCATCGATTATTTTTAGTAAATAATAAGGGATCTTGAAAACTTTTTCTATTTACATACTACTTCGCATCGGTATATTCCTAATTACTATTGACTATTTTTCAGACTAGTGAAAGTTATGTGACACCAAGTGGTTTCTGATTGTTTACGGGATGGCAAGGAGTTAATTTTGTATTTTAGAATGTAAATTAATGTCAGTTCATTCTAGTATCCTAGTCTCCCGCCAGAATGCCCGTCAAGTTTCAAATACCGTCGAGTTGGATGTTCGAATCCACCATTTATTTTCTTATTTTTCATCTTTGGACTAGTTTGAACGTGTTCATCGGACGAAACGGACTAGACATGATGGGATGGAAGGACATTCTAGACTAGTTTAGACATGTTCGAAAGACATTTCTCCCGAAGCTGTCTAGTCATGTCGGATGGGCAAGACGTTTCACAGTAGACCTGATGAGTGTTGCAGACATTTCGGACTAGTCATGTCGGCCATCTTGCATGATTTGTAGATTACTTGGGAAAATCTGTTAATTCAGAAACTAGAAACGTGTACATGCACGAACACTTAGATTCTATCAGATAAAACCGAACAAGCGACTCCCAATCGTGAAAGAAAAATTTCTTGAGTTTGAAAAAAATTATCCTGACGAACTCCTGATTTTCAGCAAGAAAACTACTAATTTTTAAAATGATGATTTAGCAGCTCTGCTTGTAAGTCTTTTTTACTTTACTTTTTTACCAAAAGAATAAGAGATGAAGCAATGGCTAATATATGAAAAACTGAAAAAAATATTTTCTTTAGAGCAATAAAAAGTCAATGTGTAGCAGAGTGGAAACGAGCAGAACAAAAGAGAATTGTAAATGGAAGAACGAGAGAGAAACTACCATTCAACTTTATTTGCAGCAGCAGTAATACACATTTATTAATTTTTATTTACGGAGAAAAAATATCGTACGGTTCTTTAAGGTAATACTGAGGGAAGTTTTCATGATACGAACAATTTCAGGAATGCTCAAAGTGCTCAATGTAAAATGAATTGTCAAATTGATCGATTTATCATAGATTACAATTTGAAATCAATAATGACGATAATCTCAAACCAACAGAATACAATTAGATAAAAGAAATTCTCTGGAAAAGTGTTAGATTAAAGATTTCTGTCAAGTGATTTCGAACATTAAAACGGAGCAGTTTAATTTACATCGGTTTATGAGAAAGTAAAGTTTAATTGTGATTCATTTCTCTGGTATTTCTGATACCATTAGAATGGATCAACAGAAATGCAGTGATGATGTCTTATCTTTCATTAATAGATATTCATATTAAAACAAGAAGAATAAGAAACCTTTAAATATTTGTACACTAAAAGATAAAATAAAATTGAGATTATTTTGATTCTTATTGAATATTTCACCATTTTCCTATTTCATTCAATATATGATGATGAAAACCAATAGGCAAATGAAGAAACTCAGCATCTCACTATTTATTTCTTTTCTGCCTTTTACCAAATTACTTTTTTCATAATATAAGACGCATCTTTTTAGTTTCTCTTGTTGAGAGATGCTTATGTATGCGTAACAATTTTCTATTACTTTTTTTCCAGGAATAAAACTACATTTTTGAAAGTAAAAGTTTTCCTTATTCCGATATCCTACTTTTAGGTATAAACAAAGAGGAAGTATGTATGTCATTAGATATTCGAGAAGTAACTTTCTGTACCTGCATATGGCACACATGTATCTTTTAAAAAGAATTATAATCATGAGACGACTAATCAGATATCTGCGAATTTCAATAGAAGGGAGACAACATTTCATTGAAACGAAAAGATATTGGGATTTTTTTTGGTTTTATATACCGAAGATTCATTAAGGTTTATCAACTGTAATGATACTTCAATGTACGTAAATTGACACTTCCTAACAAACCATGATGAATTCTACTCAATTTTTTTAAGGAACTTTTCGAAAAGTGCTAATACAAACCACACACATTGAAAGCACACTCTTCAAAATTTTTGTATTTTATTAACATACGTTTTTCTTCTATTAACTTATTGTATATATATAGGAAAAAAGCCCGAAATGCGCTACATCTTTTAGTATATTTATATTAACCATAAAATGTAGCTTATATTAGAAAATGTATATTAGAAGAAAAAGTCACTTTTTCTTTTTTGTCAATACTCATAATATTGTAACATTTTTTATTTCACATATATGTGGGCTTAGGTAAATGATAAAAGGTTGGATTTGTTTTAAAAACATGTGCCGTCAAAGGCTCTACAAAACCTGTATGATTGAATTCTTTTTTTTTTATCTGCTCTAGTGATTTTTCTGATGCTCACAATGAAACAACTAATATAGCAGCGTCACTTCCCATCATGTAGAAAACGTTTCGAGGATTTCTCTGGTTCACTACAAGACTTGGTCTATACAAGTTTTGTAGAGCTTTCGACGGCACACTTCTAAAAAAAATTCATTTTCCATCATTTTCTCCAGTCAAGATATGTGGTCATCAAAAAAGTCTTCCAGCAGTTCCAGTATGATGGTAAGATATACCAGTATGTCGCGTGTTCGTTTGAGTGTCAGAAAAATGTCAAGAATAGCTACGAAAAGA